AATACCATTTATCAAGCGACTCTTGTATACCAGGCAAGGTGCTGGGCATTTCCTCCACATTTTCTCATTAACGCCCTCCTAACCTCATTTCCCGGAAGTGGAAGCTGGGGTTCAGAGAGGTTAAGTAAATTGCCCAGGGATGCAGAACTGGATTTGAACCCAAGTGTGCGGCCATGCCTGGGCCCCTCCCGGGTAAGTCTGAGGAGGAAAAGGCAACCGGACTCTCACCGGACTAGAAGATGAGCCTCTGGAGGTCAGGGATAATGACAACAATGATGATAAAAAATAATTCAGTCACTGGTAGAAGCAGTACACTGAACTGGAGCATACAGGCCTTGTGTGATAGGGCTGTCATTCTGAGCACTCACTGCAACCATGCAGATCAAATGCTTAGCTTAGCACCTGGCGTGTAGTAGATGCTCAAGAAAATTAATATATTTACTCATTCAGCCACTATTTACTGAAAACCTAGGAGCTAAGGATACAGATACTATTTTGCTTTAATGACTTCCTAGTGCCTATGTTCCTAAGATCTAGCACATTGTCTGGCTTAATAAATGTTGAAATAAATGAATGAACAAATAAAGGAACAAATGAATGAATGAATGAGGGGACATACTGTACTCAGTCAGTCCCTAGTTGCAGTTTCAGGGAAAGTAAGAGAGAGAAAAAGGAGTTTTAGAAATAATGGTTACTATTTCTTGGGCACTTACAATGCATCAGGTACTCGACTACATGCTTTCTGTGTTGTCAGTGCATCCTCACAGCAAACCTGTGAGGTAACAGAAGAAAACAATCTCTGAGGCAGAGTGACTTTCCTGAGGTTGCACGATGAGTGAGCGCAGAGGCAGGTTTTAGGTTCGGGCCTGACGCCACCAGAGCTTGGATTTGTCCCCTGGCTCCCCTGAAGCAGTGGGCGGGAGGGCCCTGCTTGGCGTCTCTCACCATCCTCCTGTCCCCTCTAGATGGTTTGCTGGAGCTCTTGGCACACAGAAACAGCAGAATGGCCTCCACCTGCACCAGTAATAATGGGGAACATGCTCCTCTCCGCTTTCGAGCAAGTTCACTTCCACTCGCTCCTGTGCTGACCCTCACATTTGATTACTCTTCACAAGAATCCTGTGAAGAGAGTATTCATTGCCTATTTCACAGGCAGGGAACTGAGGTTCAGGGAGGCTGGCTTCCCAAGGGCATGTAGGGCACGCTCTGGGGTAGAGACTGCTGCCAAGGCCGCACACCCCCCTGCTGCCCTCTGGTGCCTTCACTTCCAAGCTCAGCTCTCTGCCAGTCGTCCCCCCATTCCTGTTGACCTAGGGTGGAATTTGGATCAGTTCACATCTTTTCTGATTCTGGTTTTGGGTGGTGATTTAGAATGAGGTTCTCGGGGCCAGCCCAGTGGCGCAAGTGGTTAAGTGTGCGCGCTGCAGTGGCCCGGGTTCGCTGGTTCGGATCCCGGGCACGCACCGACGCACTGCTTGTCAAGCCATGCTGTGGTGGAGTCCCATATAAAGTGGAGGAAGATGGGCACGGATGTTAGCCCAGGGCCAATCTTCCTCAGCAAAAAGAGGAGGATTGGCAGATGTTAGCTCAGGGTCAATCATCCTCACAAAAAAATTAAAAAGTTAAACATTTAAAAAAAAAAAAAAAGAAAGAGGTTCTCCCCAAATTCTCTGCCAAGGGCTCATCTTCCCTGGGTTTAGTTCTTACCTTAGGGGTCTCAGCAGAAAACAGGGGAACACTCAAAGTGTTTGCCAGAAGAGGGTTTAACGAAGGGACTGCCACACAGAGGTGTGGGCAGGAATGGTGAAGCACCCTGGGGTTCCCAACCGTGGGACGGAGTCACTACGCCCAGGCCTGAAGGGGCAAAGGGACAGAGCCTTGTTAACGAACCTGGTGAGGGCTGTACCCAGGGGTGCAGGCCACTCAACAGAACTGTGACTTTCAGCGGAGGTGCCAAAATCACGGAGGAGGGGGTATTATAAATATCCTCATCTTATTCTCTTCCTTCCCTCTATCTCCTGCCAATGTCTCCTATGGCCGAACTCCACCTGAAACCATAGGCAAGGGGGCCCGGGTGAGACTGCCTGCAGGAGTCAGCCCCAAGACACAGGGCAGGGCGGATAAGCAGGGACAACAGAGGTCAGGCAGAGTAGCTAGCCCAGGGGTTTCACTTCTCTTCCTGGACTCAGCTTTGTGGAGGGGCTGAGAGACTGAATGGGCTGCATTTGTCTTTCAAAGCAGTCTGCCTGACGCCAGAACACCCTTTCTCGTCCTTCCAGGCCCAGGTTGCTTTGTCTACAAGGCTGTCCTAGAGTTAATCTCTCCCACCCCTGGCTTCCCTGAGTCTCAGTGCCTGTCCCATCACTCTGCTCAGTGATCTGGTATTATTCTCTGCATGGGTTCGTCTCCCCAGGAGACAGTCCGGCATCTTCTACCCTGTGAGCTCTTTGCAGGCAGGGGGCTGGGCCAAGTAAAGCTGTTTGCTCTGACACAGGACCTGGCACAAAGCGAGTGCCAATGTTTGTCAAGTGAACTGAGTCCTGTGGCCTCACTTACCTAACTCTGCCCTGGTACACACAATCTGGGCACATGTGTATGTCTGTTTCCCTGAGCACACTAGGGCTCCTTGGTGGGGAGTGCCCAGGCCTGGCACACAGCAGGCATCAAATGTTGCCTGAATGGGCTTAGGGAGGAACTTCCTTCTTCCCTTCATTCATTCAACAATTTTTTGGAGATCCTACTGTGTGCCACGTCCTGTGCTGGGCCCTGAGGACACAGCAGTGAACAAGATACACAAAGTCCGTGCCCTCACGGGGCTTCCATTCTCGTGGGGGAAGCGGAGAAAGAAGGAATTGAAAAGATTATTGTTGCAGATTGTAATAAGTGCTGTACAGAAAATAAACAAGGTGATGGGATAAACAGTAAATGGGTGGACATTTATGTGGGGCGTGGGGGACACATCAGGGTGGGCCTTTCTGAGGAGATGACATGTAAGCTGAGACCTGAAGAAGGATAGAAACTGGGATATGAAGAGCTGGGAAGGGTGTTCTAGGCAGAGGGAATAGCAAAAACAAAGGCGTGCAGGTGGAGGAGTTTCTGGGACCCTGAGGGATTCAGTGTTTCAGCCTAGAGAAGGGCTTAGGAAGAGGTTAGGAGGGGTTAAGGAATTCAGTCTTGGGAACCGCCTAGGCCCAGTTCCTGGGCTAGGGGGTTGGAAGGAAAGGGATGACCCTTCTTAATGCCACCCATGCTGCCTGTTGCCTAGTGCCGACAGCAAACAGTGCTGCTGGCCGGCCTTACCCTTGCTCCCTCAGCTCCCCTCTGACTGGCAGCAGCTGTCAAATGACCAGCAGCTGAGGCTTTGCCAACCTCCTCCCCTGGAATATTTCAGGAGTAAGTCAGAAAACGACCAGCAGCCTCCAAAACTCGACTTTTTCTCGTTCATACCTTACAAGGGTGTATTTGGCTGCCCTGGGTGTTAATCTCCCACCCCCTTGCTTTAGACAGAGAGACATAAATATACAGCCACAGGCGGCGCGCTCAGATACATGGATTAATGAACACTTACTCAGGCCCCACTTGCACACAGAGGACACATCACACATCTTCTTGTGAGCACCCACCCCTCTCACACACATTAGCCCCCAGTCACTCAGGCACACACACACAGGACCATGCACACACCCCACAAACCCATCACAACAGACCACTACACACACAGACACTCCACAACTGGCACGACCACTACACACTTAATCACTCCCTCCAGGATTATACCATCACACATCCACGTGCCCACGCACAGACATGTACCCCACAACCATCACAGTCACACATGGGCACACAGTCCCACAATCCCCCTCCACACACCACACACAACCATGTGGTGTTCATACAGCCAGCAGTGGGCCCATTGGTACAACACACAGCCCAGACACGTTCAACACAGCGCACCATTACCCCACCCCATACTCGGCATCTCCGATTAAACACATCCAGCCCCTCGCTTGTTATAGTGCACAACATTCTTCTGCGATTGAGTCAAAGACCTCCCCGGACGGAGGGGCTCAGTGGAAAAAAGGCATCAGAAGGGAGAATGCTCGAGGCCCGGGTCTGGAAAGCGGGCTTTTCGCTTGGGGAGAAAGACCTCAATGTTGAAGTTTGACTCTGACACGGATGAGCTAAGGACTTGGGGGAGGGGCGTGCCCTGGAGCGGACAGAAGCAGGGCTGGGTGGGGTGACAGGTGGAGCACGCGGAGAGACCCCAGGAAACCTCGCAGCGTGGGGGCGGAAAACGGAGTTAAATATGGACTCAACCATACGTGCTTAAACCCCTCCCACGCAGCCCTCCCACCGCCCTTCCCCAAACCCGGCCACAGGCTCCCAGGCTCCCGACTGTTCCCAAAGGCACGGGGTGTGGCCGTTACCCTTCCTCCCTAGTCCTTCACGACAGCTGCGGGGCACAGCGCTGGGGCGCGGGCCCGCTCCTCCCCCTGCGCGGCTGGGGATCCAAACTCGGGCGGGCCGGCGGGGGGTGCTGGTCCCTCTCAGTCCCCCATCCCCCAACCCTGCCCCCTTCCCCGGCCGGCCGGCGGGGCAGGGGAACTGCTCTCCTGGGACTGCAGAGCCACCCTCCTCCTCTGCCCCCCCCCCAACTGGGACCCTTGGAAGGGAAGGGTGGAGAGAAAGAAGGTTCGGCAAGATCTCGGGGCTGGCCGGTTTTGGAGACGCGGATAAGTCACCCCCTACCCCCACCCCACCCCAGGCTGGTCCCGGGAGGGGCGGCCTCTCCCCGCCCCCGGCCGCGCGGCCCGCTCCCTCCTCCCGCGGGCTGGAGCCCCGGCC